TGCTGTGGGCTCACTTTGCCAGACTTACAGCAGGGCTGGCTGGATCTTAAGAGTCTTTGATGAGTTGAAATGCTGTCTAAATGCCTTACACTTTCCAGATCAGCCTTCTACCCTCAACCAGACCTTGTCGTCTTCTCCTTAGGCACAGGATTCCTGAGTGCATCCTTAGTATCTTTCCCATGATCCCTACATTTCACACTGACTTTTTTTTTACATCGTTTGGCTGTTTTGCTTCATACCTCCTTGACTATCGTGCAGTTCCTTACTAGAACCTACAAACGTCCCAAAGGCTTTCGCTCACTCTTGCTTGTTTTCTCTCATCCTTTCTTGGGGTAGGTGAGGCTTCACCCCTTAATATATTTTCAACATGCATCTGTATATGGAGATTTCTCAGACCATCTAGAAACCTGCTGTTTCCCCCTCTATCAAGTTCGTTATTTCTGCCTACTGTGCACTGTCCCTTGGAAATCATAGTGACATCCCTGTTTTAACCAAAAATTACCCAGGTCTGGGCTCTACAGCATCTCTGTGGTGGGTAATGTTGCAGGTTAACTGACTGGCATTGAGTCTCTGACTTCTTTTGTCTTTTGACTTCTTTTGGCATTGCTGTACCAACTCTTCCTAGCCCCCTAAGTTCTGGTTGTTTCTGACTCTTGGCGCAGTCTTAGCCTCTACTTGGTACCCAGCATACATAGTATTAGAGAAGGTCCCTACCCACAAGGAACTCAAGTTCTAATTAGAATATTGGCAAACATTATTGAGTACTTAGTATGTGCCAGATACTATTTTAAGTCCTTTATATGTACTAACTTATTTAATTAGGGAGAAACCATAAATAATTACTAGCCACGTGAATAAAAGACAATGAAGAGAACAATTCTACCATTAATGGTCACGGAGGCCTCACAGAGGTGACATTTGAGATGGGACTCGTAAGATATCCAGGGTTTCCCTAGGCAACAGACATTTTAGAGGAACTGCACAGCTAGGAGCCCCAGGGGTTGTAGCAGAGGGTGTGAAGGATCAAGTCAAGTCAGCATCCTTCTGAGGAGGAGTAGACCTGAATCAGTGGGCAGGGCTTTGAATGCTGTATACAAAGGTTTAGACTCTGTCCTTTAAAAGACCTTCAGTATCTCCCCCTTCTCTGAGCCCAAACGATTTTTGATCAGATCTGTGTTTCAGAATAGCAATTTCTGTTATCTGCCTAAAGAACGGATTGTAAAAAGGAAGGAGGGGGCCAGTGGAGAATATTTTTCAAAAGCCTGAATGAGCTAAAGACCTATATCTGGACACTGGCAATAGCAAGGAGAATAAAGAAGAAATTCAAATGAAGGTAAAGGTAGAATTGGTTAAACACAAAATGTGAGGGAAGAGTTGAAAGATGAAACAAGGTTTCTAGCAAAATCTTCCCGAAGATAGGGAGAACAAAAGAAAGGGTGGGAGAAAATGGATTTTGTTTGGGTCATGAAAGACTGCCAGGTAGAAAAACGTTCAGTGGACAGTTAGAACTGCAGCTCAGGAGAAAAGGGCTAGAGGGAGATTTGAGAGTTTAAAATATGCTGAGCAAGAGAGGACCAAGGATAGAATGGTGGGGAACACCACAATTTAAGGGGCAGGAAGATTAGTTGAAGAGCAGTTAGAGGTAAGAGGAGAACCTAGGAAAGCTGTTTAGAAGCCAAGCTCAATAATTCCTTTGCCAAAAGAATGAGCTCGTGGGTAAGTTGGTTAGCCAGAGAAGTGAGGATGAGGGCTGGCTGAGAACTGGACACTGGAATAAGTATCAGAGGACGTTATACTCATCTTAGGTTTCTTCAGACAAGGGACGCTGGTGCGGTAAGTTTGAAAATGGGCATTTTCTGACCAAGGAGAGCCAGTGGAGTGGTGGACTGACAGTGCCTCACTTACTTGCCCTCTCTGCTGTGTCCCTTCCACTCAGAGCCCCGAAGCCAGGACAGGAGACGGCGGCAGCAGCCACTGACCTATCACCTTACTTCAAGCAGCCTGGCCTCATCCCCAACTCCTGCCAGTTCTAGCCTAGCCTCCTCACGCAACATGGGCTCCTGCCTACTGCCCAGCTCACTCAGCATATCAGGTCTGTACGCACTGCCACTGAAACCTAGGTTGGCAGCCTCCTTCCTTCCTTCCCACACAGGGTGGAGAGCAGGCTCCTGAGGAAGTCCTGCAGCCCCGTTGCCCCCGGACCTGGACCTCTTTCTTGACTGATGTGATAGAGGCCTCAGTAGACCAGGGGCATCAATTACCGCCCAGAGGATCCTAAACCCCAAACACCCATGCCCTTGTACAGGAAGCTGAAATTTAATCAATGTCTTTGTATAATAGTAGTTCCCATTTATTGAGCACTTACTATGTGGCAGGCACTGCTCTAAGCTCATTATCTCATTTAATCCTCACTTTTACAGTTGAGGAGCATTATGACTTTTCCTACCTGCTGATTGAAGCTCCCTGACTCCAGGAGCTGGACATTAGACAAAACTGCAGAATGAAAAAAAGGATAGGCCTGCCATCACCACAAATGTGTGACCATATCAAGCACACAAAACCTTGGCCGTCTGCTCTCCTTTTGTTCTATCCCAGCTGCCACAACATTAGTAACAGAAACAGAATTTACGGAGGATGAGGCCCAGAAATCAGGATTTTAAAAAGATTCCCAGGTGATTCTAATGTGCAACCAAGGTTGAGAACCACTGCTCTAAGGTCTATAAATTCAGAGTAATTCAAGCTCTGATTTGCTGCTCCACCCCTTGAACAAGACTAGAGCATGCCAAGCTTCTTAACCAAGGGCAACCACCTCACCACCTCTGCACATGTGCCAATGTCTAGAGACATTTTGGGTTGTTACAAACGGGGAGGGGCAGGAAGAGGAACAACCTCTAATCCAGTGGTTCTCAACCTGTGGGTTGCGACCCCTTTGGCGGTCAAATGACCCTTTCACAGGGGTCGCCCAAGACCATCCTGCGTATCAGATATTTACATGACGATTCATAACAGTAGCAACATTACAGTTATGAAGTAGCAACAAAAATAATTTTATGGTTGGGTCACAACATGAGGAACTGTATTTAAAGGGCCAGAAGGTTGAGAACCACTGCTCTAATGGGTAGAGGCCAGGGATGCTGCTAAATATCCTAGAATGACACAAAGAATTATCCAGCCCAAAATGTCAATAATGCCAATATTGAGAAACTCTAATCTAAAGGAAGTTCCCTCTTCCCCGTGGCCCCTACCCTGATATGTTTCTTTTGTTCTCAGGGAGCAACTGCTCACTCCTGTCCTCAGGGGACAAGCCAGAGGCGGTCATGGTGATTGGGAAAGGTCTACTAGGAACTGGACCTCGGATCCCCTGTGTCAGGACCCGATTACAGGTAACATTTTTGGGTCTTCCTGTCCCCAGCATAACAACTATGGCAGAACCCAACAAGCAACTGTTCATCTGGTAGTAGGAGGGGGAATGCCCAGCACTGCTTTACCTCTCCCCAACCACTTAAGAGAGCTCTTCTGGTGTCTCGAGTGCCTGTCTGTCCAGTGTCCCATCCCCTTCAAGCCAGGTCTCTTGCTTGCTTTCAACCCCATGTCCCTGCTGGATATACCCCGACCTCAGCCTGCTAGCTTTGGCTTTGTCTGCCCCTGCCCTTAGTTTCTCCTCTCTTTCTGCCCAGACCTGCCCGAGGAGAGTTCCCGCCAGGAGGGGTCCCGGATTCCCCAGGTAACACATCTGATTGCTGCTCCTAGGAACAGCTGTGCCACCAACGCCAATTCAGTCCAGACCCCCATGCTAGTTCGCTAAAGTTGGGTATAGGCAGAAGGTGAATGGACGGGTGAAACGTAAGCTGGTCTGGCAGGGGCTGAGGCACAGAAGGCTGAGAAAGATCTACCAATCCTCCAAAAGCTTTCTACACAGTACTTGTCTTTGGTACAAATCTTGGCCATGATATAGCCATGGAGGTTAAATGGTGGATTCTTTTGCCTCCCCTAGTTAAATAAGACTGAGAGTATATAGTTATAGATTGAACCCAAGTTCTCTATTATCCTCTCAGCTAGGGAACGTGCCCAGGAATGAAAGGTCCTAGTACCTGTGTTGACTGCTAAACTACACCCTTACTCATGGGAACTCTAGAAGCACAAATATTCATGGAAGAACCCAGCTTCTTAGCCCACCCCCTGTCCACAGGCTAGGTCCAGGTTGGGCTGGGGCTCACCGCCGACTTGCAGAGGGATAAGAGGCTCTTCGGGCCCCACATCCCCTATCCTCTGGACCAGGGAGAGCAGTGAGCCGGAGCCGGGACCCCGCTCTGCACCAGGGTGAGCACAGATTGTCCCTCACCCCACTTCTCCTTTCTACCCCCTCATTCCCAATTCTGCCACTCAGGATCATTTCCTTCCTGAATCCTTGACCCCCAGAAGACTAAATGTACTTTCATTAGGAATCTAGTACCTGTTTTTCCCCCATAATGGCCTCAGTCTTCACTCCAGTGAATAAGAATACTGTGCCTATCCTTACCCATCCCAGCTCTCACTTCCCAGCCCCTGGCTAACAGACCAGCAAAGGAGCAAACTTTTCACAACCCTGATTCCTCTTTTCTGTTGCAGGCTGCCTCAGGCTGCACCTCCACGGCCCCACTCTGCCCCTGCCATTTCTCCTATTTCCTGTAGTCTACCTGACTCCCAGTCTCGGACTTGTTACAGCGGGGGGCCCTTGGGCCAACCTGAGGTTTGTTTTGTCCCTAAATCTCCCCCATTCACTGTTTCTCCCCGGGTCTGATGCCTTGACCTTCATGCCCAGGATATAGCCACAAGATGGGGAACACTGAGAAATGTGCTAGTCCCCTGCCTCAGCTGCTGATTCCATGTGACAACTATAACTCCTCAGAATGCCATTCACACCGTGCTGAGGCATCACAGAGCATCACCTTGAGACAGAACAAAGCAGGGAATGTGTCACCCCTTCCCTCCCTCCACAGCACAAGATTTTGGGACCACAAAAATATCTATATTTTTATATCGGGGGGAGGGAGTAGAAAAGAAAGCAGCCCTATACTGGGCCCTACTCAGTGGCAGCTTCTTGTTCCATAGGGTTAAGGAAGACTTTGAGGAAATAAAAGTTGTTTGGAAAAATCCAGGTGTAGTTGCTTTATATGCTGTGATGGGTAGAAGGGATGAAGTGAAGTGTGAAGGCCCCTCACACCCTCCATCTTGCCTCAGACTATGTCCTGGAGCCCTAGAAAAGAGGGGAAAGACCTGAGGTAAGGAAAATGCTGTTTTACTCGGAGGAATCCTCCGGGAATCAACTCCCACCCACCCTCTCTCCCCTTTACGTTGGGACCCACACTTAAGCTTGGTCTCCAAACCCGCCCCCGCCCCCTTTCTTCTCTATGACTTGGGTCTACAGCCGCCAACCCCTAACTCACTGTCTCTTGCCCCAGAACATGGAAATAGAATTCTGTATCTTTACAATCCCTCACTCACACAAAAAAACAAAAAAACACCTGCCTAAATAATCTTGGAAAAGTGAGGACTGTTTAAGTGAAGAACTCAAATCCTCATTCGTGGATGGCATCCTCAGTACCCTCATCCCTACCTGGCAGTGCCACCTTGTACCCATACCCCCAACTTGGGCACCTGGGGCCTAGGAAACCCACCCAGGGGACAGCTGAAGGGGGAGGGACACTGCAAGGCACTCTTCCCTGTGCGGACAAGGGGCCCAGTTCTGGCGCTGCGTGCTTGGCCCCACGCTTTCTGGTGGGAAGTTTCGAACCCTGCAGGCCCTGGCACGGCCTCGCCACTCCCGGGCTGGGCGCTACAGCCCCAGACCGTTACCTGGGGCGGAGAAAGCGCCACTTTCATTCCTGCTTCTTGGGATTGTTGACGGCCACGTAGTGATAGAGAACGACAAGCAGGAAGAGCGACACGCCCAGCATGTTGGCGAAGATGGCGAGCTGCACGTCGGTGATCATCCTGCGGAGAAGAGGGCGGGCTGAGCCTGCGGCCGGCACCACTCCCTGCCCAGACCAGGGCCGTCCTCGCCCCCCTGGTCGCCTGCGCGCCTCTCACCTGACCAACTGCGCTCGGCTCCGCGGCGGTCTGCGTTCCGGCTGAAGGTAGGAGACCTGGTCCGGAAGTTTGTGGCGCCAGCTCAGCTCCAGGACAGGCACTTCCGGCGGGGGTCGGTCTCTCTAGCCCCGCCGTCTCGCCTGCTCCCCGCCGCGCTCGCAAGGGGCGTGGTCTGGGGCGGGGCGGCCGCGGGATGGCGTGTGTCGGGCCCGCGCTGCACAGCTGGGCGCAGCTGGCGCAGCGGGGGACGTGGTTAACAGCGCCGGGGCCGCCTCCCCGGAGCCGCGGGGTGCTAGGGCGAGGGTGCGGCAGTGGGGCCGGGCGGGAGGCTTGGCCTGACCTTAGACTCTGACACCCCTTCCCGTCCCGCCCCCCCCACGCTGCTGCTCACCCTTTCCCGGCCCGGCCCGGCCGGCCAGGTGCTTCCTTTGGGCCCTGCCCTCGGATCCCCTCCCTGGCCCGGCGGTGGGGTGAGGGATGAGAGGTGGTGCCGAACGGAGACAACTGGGTGCTGCTCTCCTCGGAGCCAGCCCTTGCGCCCCGTACCCTACACGTAGGACAATCCTGCCTGTGACCTGACCAGCGCCTCCCTTACCCTGGCTCCCCCCACCCCCTACCCCGCACCCCCACCTCCGGGGTAGGCGTCGGAAATAGGGCGGACCCTCCCGAAATCTAACCCCAAATCGTGGGACTTCGGCCAAGTGGGAAATCACCCCCCGGATGTGAGGGAGGGAGCGGGGAGGAATGGCCGGGATAAGCCGGAGGGGCCGTGGGTTCCGAGCAGAGCAGGGTCACGAGGAGGAAGGAGAAAGATGACGGGGTGTTGTCGGGGGTCCGGTGAGGGGAGAAGCCGCTGGGGCTCTAGCCCTCTGCCCAGCCAGAAGCTGCTCACTCCGCCTTCACCCCTGGCTTCCCCGTCCCTCGGCTTCACCATAAAAGGGAACGGCACGGAGCCAGGCTGGGCGGGGGGCTGGGCCGGAGCTGACAGGGTAATGGAAGCCAGTTGCTTTGCGGTAGAGGGGCCCGGGCTCAGGGGACGCTGCTGCTCCTGAGCCAAAGAAAACCACAGGCGTTCCCATGGGGCCGGCAGCGGGTGGGGGACCAGTGCCGCCGGTGCGCTGGTGTGCGCTCGCCCAGCGCTCGCCCAGCGTGGCCTTCCTGGCCTGGGACCGACCGTCACCAGCGTGTCCGCCATGCTCTGGTCCATAACTCCTAAGCTCAGCCTCTGCCTTTCGTAGTCCTGGCTCCTCTGGCCTCCCCACTCACCCCAGCCCTCACCCAGTATTTCCCAGAGGTTTCCTATTTAGAATCCCAAGCCCATGTCCCCTCCACATAACCTTGAAACCCCAGAATGTGTTTCCTCGAGGGGCCAGTCTGTTCCCAGCTCTGCTCAGCGAGAACGAGGGTCTGGGTCTTAAAGGATTACACACATTAGGCTTCATGTCCCCTGGAAATCTGAAGCAGATTCAAGTCCAAGCAGATCTTAGAGCTACGATTGGAACAGAACTAGATCCTGGAAAGCAGACTTTCCAGACTGCCAATGGCATGAGGTGCTTCAGATTTTCAAGCCTGTCCTGAACCCGCTGAGCCAGGTGCCAAGCTTCCTAGACTGTCAGAGCGGAAGGGTGCCTCCAAGATCGTTTTATAACGAAGGAAACAGGCCCAGAAGGCAATTGATTTGACCACGGTTCTACGACCGGTTAGAGACCGTGTTACCTGATTCTCTTTCCTCTGATCAATGAACCCAGAGCCACTGATTTATTTGATATCAGGTTGTCCTGGGTCAGGGACAAGAGGAAAAGGACGTATTTTAGAGCCATCCAGAAATGTCCTTCACCTCCCACAACTTCCTGTGCCTAGGTCACTGAGACTTTATCCGCCTTGAATGGGTCACTTGGCCTGGTGCCTAGAGAAACTGAAACAAAAATGGTCTCCAGGACAAAACTAGACCCAGCTAAGAACAAATAAAGCTTGAAAACAGTTTGGGTAGAAGAGTATGTGGGAAATGGGACAGGCACAGCCTCATCCTGTGAAGAATTGGAGGAGGCAGAGGATCTGGAGGGGGCACATGTGCAGCTTAATCTTTGTGATTAGTGTGACATTTTCAAGGAAAAGATGAGTTTAGAATTAGACTCAGGAGAAAAAATCAACCAGACCTGGGAGAAGGGGACTGAACCCTGAGTCCAGGGAGTTTGGTACCTAAAGTATTGCACCTGTAGAAGGGTTGGAAGGAAAAGGAAATGTATGCATTTGAGAGGAGGAGTAGACTTTTGCTCAAGAGTCCCCACAAGTTTGAATTCCCATCTGGGTCTGCATGACTCAAGGCCTAATTCATATTATTCCCTCCTTTTCCCCTCTCAATATTTATCTTCTGACAGATGCTTAGACATAAAATGTTCCTTACTACTACTGGTGTCCCCTGGCCCGCCCTGGGCACGAGCTCGTTGCTCAGTGATGGTCGACTGAATGAGTTACGTCGTAGAGCCAAGATTGCCCATTGGCACTAGACCCTTGGAAATTCCTCATCTTGGAGCAGTTATAAAATAGATACTGTCCTAGTGCCCAGGGACTTAGCCTAGTTGACCTCAAGAATTCCAATTGCTTTGGAAATTTGTGGCCATCTGCCAATACTACCACTGCAGCCACCATGGCATTCTCCCTCATCTTAGTTTCCCCTACAGCCTCTTGCCCAACGCCTCCGGCCTCCCCAGTGAACCCAGAGCCACTGATTTATTTGATGTTTCACAGACATCCCTGTCAGCCCTGAGGTCTCGGCCCCTAATTATAGGACTAAATGATATGTAACATACTGCAATTGTATTTCAAAGCCAACATTTCTGACTTGACACACTTAAAATATAACCGGTTTTTAAACTTAAGGGGGCAGGCAAAGGGATGGGTGACAACTGGGAAGTGACGAGATGGCTGGGATGACTCCTCAGGTTGCCAGAGGCCTCCCGAGGGGGAGAAGAGGAGAAAGAACAGAGAAAGAAAGCCCACCAGGACAACCTAGAGAGGAAGTGGGTTGGCCTCCTGCCAGAGCCAGGGCCTAGAACTGATGCTGAGACCAGGGACGAAGCTGCAACCTTCCACCGGCAGCAACTTTGAAATCAGGATCTCCATCCGACACCTCTAAGGGGCAGCCACAGACTCCCATGTCTGTTGGTTCCAGGGCTTACTCTCACCATCCCGTCTTCTTGTTGCATTGCTCCCAACCCTTAGCATTCATAGGACCTCAGAGGCCGGTCATTCAGTCACATTGAAGAGTTGGTGGCATCCTCCCATGGCTTCCAATCATTGCCCTGCAAACGGTTCCCAGAATCAAGATCCACATTTTGAATCATCTCCTGGACATCTATTTCTATTGAGATGTGTTACTCTCACGTTAAACTCAGTACAGACCTACCTCGGAGATATTGCGGGTTTGGTTCCTAACCACAGCAAGTAAGTGAATATTGCAATAAAGCGAGTCGTAATGCTTTTGCTGGTGAAGGAAGTAAATTTGTAAACATGTGTAACATTTTCTATTTGAAAAAAAAAAAAGCAACATCTGTGAAGCCTAATAAAGCTAAATGCCTGTATGTTTAAATCAGGGTCATCCTTCTTTCCTCCAAACCTGCTCCTCCTCTCAACCTACCCATCCTGGCTAGAACCCTGGCATCTTCGCTGGTGTCTCCCTTCATCTGCTCCCCTGGTACCCAGCCTTCTCTTTCAGGCCTGCACCACTTTGCAGTGCAGAATTTGGAAGGGACCTTAGACAACAGACCCCCAGTGGAGTCCCGGGACTTGCTCAAAGTGATAACGTAGTTAGAGGAGGAGCTGGAACCAGCATCCTCGTGCCCTAACACCCTGCCCACTGTTCTTGCTGACGGTCTTCAGTCTTCTCTCTGCAGGGATACTGATCCCCTCCTCAAAATTGTGCAGTCCAGGCTCTTAGCCAGTCATCTGAGGCTCTCCCTGATTTTTCCGCAATGCACTTCTCTGACTTTCTATGCCACTTCTTGACACAAATAAAAGCTAACTGCGCATTTACCACATGCCAGGCAGTATTCTAAACTCTGTGTGTATTAACAGCCCTCACAGACCTAGGAAGGAGGCACTATTATTACTCCCAAGTTATGGATGGGGAAACTGAGGAAGACCACATTTCCCAACCTGAAACCTCTCTGTCTCTTCCAACACCTCTTTTCTGACTCCCGCAGCAGCCGCTGTCTTTCCACTCCTCTTGCCCACAACACGCCTCCTCCATCGGCCTGGCCTCCTAGGCGCTCTGTCTATCCCGCGTTATGTTAGTTTCTGTTTTGGAGCTTGGTCCCATTCCTCAATAGCCCCAGCTGCTCCTTACTGAGTCACACACACATGCCTTTGCACCTGGGTGCCTCCACCGTGCTCAGCACACGGCGCTCTCCTAGTACTTCCGCTCAGCCCTCCCAAGTGTCCCTCCACACGGGACCTGGTCCAGAACACAGCACTGAGGGCCAGGTGGTGGAGAGGGGCCCGCGGATGGAGAGGGGTCCGCTGATGGAGAGGGGTCCGCTGACAGATCCCAACATCCCAGGAGGCGCTGCCTGTCGGGTCAGGCTGATGCTGAGTCCTATGAGTCCCCAGCCTGCTACAGAGGCTATCAGACTTGCCTCCACGGGAGGGAGTGACTTCCTTTACTCTGTAGTAGGGCTCAATTTGTCTACCTCCCTTCCCTCCCCCCCCTCATGGCCTGACCCTCCCCAAAACTAGTCTGGGACCCACATTCATTTGGCCTTTTTAGAATGAGAGTCTCCTCTTGCCCAAGTTCTCCATGCTTGACAAGGTTGCTCCCCCATTTCCAGATTCCTTCCTTCCCCTCTGGCTTCTCTGAATTTCCTGACTGCCTCATGGAGTCCTTGTCCTTTGCCCTGGCCCAGTAGCCCTCTCTCCTATTCTCCTTCTTTCTCCCAAGTCACTGACTAGGTATTTAGATTTTAATCTCAGCTCTGCTCTTAACTTGCTGTATTACCTTGGACAAATTA